CCCAAAAAAAAAAAAAAAAAAAAAAAAAAGAACTGCCTGCACTTAGTAGTCCATGCCTGTACTCCCAGCCTCTTGAAACACTAAAGTGGGAGGAGTGCTTGAGCTCAGAAGTGTAAGGCTGCTGTGAGCTGCAATCATGCCACTGCACTCCAGCCTAGGTGACAGAGCAAAACCTGGACACCAAAAAAAAAAAAAAAAGATAAACCAGTATAACAAATAAAATGTACTCTTGTTGGCCAGGCATGGTGGTTCACACCTGTGATCCCAGTTCAAGACCAGCCTGGCCAACATGGCAAAACTCTCTGCTAAAAACACAAAAATTAGACAGGCGTGGTGGCAGGTGCCTATAATCCCAGGAGGCTAAGGCAGGAGAATCACTTCAACCTGGGAGGCAGAGGTTGCAGTGAGCTGAGATCATACCATTGCACTCTAGCCTGGGCGACAAGAGCAAGACTCTGCCTCAAAAACAAAACAAAACAAACACCTATTGTTTCACATACTTTTTTTTTTTTTTTTTTTTTTGATAGTCTCACTCTTTCACAGGCTGGTATAGAGGTAGGATCTCGGCTCACTGCAACCTGTCTCCTGGGTTCAAGCGATTCTCCTGCCTCAGTATCCGAAGCAGATGAAATTAGTTATGTACCGTGATGCCCGGCTAATTTTTGTTTTATGGTACAGACGCGGCTTCACCCTGTTGGCCAGGCTGGTCTCGAACTCCCGACATCAAGTGATCTGCCTACCTTGGCCTCCCAAAGTGCTGGGATTACAGGCATAAGCCACCCCGTCCGGCCTGTTTTACATATCTAATTAAAAAAAAAAAATCAACAAGGATAACGGGATGACACAAAGTGGAAAATTAACAGGAATACCGAAAAAAACTTTGTATCAAATGGATAAAAATTAATCAATGAAGGGGAAAACCTCACAAAACTGACCCAAGTACTTTTATTACAATTTTTATTATGATAAAAACACATAAAACTTACCCTTTCACATACTTTGTGTGTACCGAACAGTATTGTTAACTATATGCATATTTTTATACAACAAATCGCAAAAAGCTTTTCCATCTTGCATGGCTGACACTCAATAACCATTAAACAACCCATTTTCTCCTCCACCAGCTTGTAGCAAATACTGCAGTACTTTCTTGCTTCTGAGTTCCGTTAGATACCCTATGTAAGTGGAATCAGGTGGTATTTGTCCTTTTGCAACTGGTTTATTTCATTTAGCATAATGTCAAGGTACATCCATGTTGTGGCATATGGCAGAATTTTGTTTTTAAGGCTAAATGATATTGCATTGTACATATATAAC